TGGATACTGCTCCATCTTGGGACGGAAGCCAGGAGCCAGGGCGGCAGCAGCTATGGAGAGAAAGGTGGGTGCCTCACCCGCGTGGATGTGAGAGGGGGCATTTACCGACTTGGGACGAGACTGAGGGCCCAAGATGCGTGGGCAAAAGTTAACGGAGACTATGGGTGGGTGCAGAAATGATCTGGAACGGTGGGCCAAGCCATGCAGAGCTGGGTGCCGGGTGTCGGGTTTTCATTTCTTTGTAAGTTCCTCCATTTCCCCCCTCCCTACCCAAGATATAAAATGAAAAACTCACATAAAGATATGTTATATGGTTTGTCTGATAGCACAAGAGACCCTGAGAGAACTCGGGCAACACACATAGACCCAGTTTGGGTTCTCTTTCCTCTCACAGCTTCCCTCTCTCTTCCCTGCATCTATCTATCTGACTTCCATATCAGAGGCTCCTCGACATCTGTTTCCCTGATACACTCACACACCATGTATCTGGGTAAGGTAAGAACAGCCCTGATCTTGAGGTTCCCCAGATCTTGGCCCCACTTGGGACTCTGGGAGTCCCCACTTTCAACCTTTGCCTCATTTCCCAAATCTTCACAAGGTGAACATCAGGACACTCCACAACTCTCCTCCAAACCTAGATGACAAGACCGTCTCTTCTTACCTTACCCTGTCCTGAAAAATTGTGGATTCCTAAGGACCCCCCACTTGGCCTGCCTGAGATCAAAACTTAAAACCTTCCAATTAGGAGCCCTCAGGAACACCACCATCCTTTGACTCATAACCCAAATCTGGCCTCAATACCAACTGGACAATAGTCATTGTGATGGTTTGAATTAAAATGTCCCCCATAGGCTCCAAGTATTTGGACATGTTGTCTCCAGATGGTGGTGTTGTTTTGGGAGGTTTTAAAAGGTATGGCTATCCTGGAGGAAGTGTGTCACTGGGGGCTTAGAGAGTTCTTAAGCCTTGCTGGATCTCCAGTTGCTCTCTTATTTCTTGTACCTGCTGCCAAGCAATGCCTGCAAGTGCAATAATTGCTCAACCAACATACATACAGCTTACAAATTTCTAATTGGATAAGACCCTCTCCTGGGGGTGGAACACACATCTGGTGCTGTAGACCAAGCCAACACCTTGTGTCAAGAAAGGCTACAGGCCCTAGCAGGGACAAGTATACTATTTAATGAATATAGTACTCCTACTGGGATATTTTCTAGGCATTTGTATTTACATTTGTATTTGTTTAGATGTGTCTACTTCCTTCTATTTGTCTTTATAGTACAAGAAACACCACTGAGATAAATCAATGGCCACAGCTTAAGGACAAATAATGGGGAGGCCCAAGAAGTCACTATCTCACCATGAGAGATCACCCTACATCTGTCACCCTCTCCAAGGTTCAGGAACCTTAGTGGAAGATTGGTGGAAAGATTGTAAGAGCAGAAGAAAGGGGTGGAGTGTGTCCCAGGGACCTGGTTCCTCCAAGGGGTGGGGCCTGCTGCAGAGAATTGACTGTGGAGAGTTAGCCATGGAGGGATGGGCTTCTGAGCACCACCTTGGGACTGAAGCCAGGAATGGCTAGCGGCGGTGGGCTTGGAGAGGAAGATGGCCCCGGCGTCTCACCCGTGTGGATACAAGAGGAGGCATTTACTGACCAGGGGCAAGACTGCGGGCCCAAGATGCGTGGGCAAAAGTTAACGGAGACTATGGGTGGGTGCAGAAATGATCTGGAACGGTGGGCCAAGCCATGCAGAGCTGGGTGCCGGGTGTCGGGTTTTCATTTCTTTGTAAGTTCCTCCATTTCCCCCCTCCCTACCCAAGATATAAAATGAAAAACTCACATAAAGATATGTTATATGGTTTTTCTGATAGCACAAGAGACCCTGAGAGAACTCGGGCAACACACATAGACCCAGTTTGGGTTCTCTTTCCTCTCACAGCTTCCCTCTCTCTTCCCTGCATCTATCTATCTGACTTCCATATCAGAGGCTCCTCGACATCTGTTTCCCTGATACACTCACACACCATGTATCTGGGTAAGGTAAGAACAGCCCTGATCTTGAGGTTCCCCAGATCTTGGCCCCACTTGGGACTCTGGGA